TTAAAAGTTAAATAAGTTAATAACGTAAAATAATAAACAAACCATTAAAAATGTAAGCAATAATAATAGAAAAGTTGTTGTACCTTTTCCGGGTGATACTTTTCAGTCCGATTGTTCCGATGTTGCTGTTTCATGGCAAAATAGACATGTTTCTGTTTTCGTTTTTCTCAATTTCTGATTATTAAATGAGGAAACGGCAGTATACGAAACTGATTTGCTTGTTTTGCACCTAGTGAATTCATCCAGTGAGTCGTCATTTATTCCTCCATCCTCTTGTTTAGTTCCGCTTTTAGCATGCTTTTTGATGGTCTTTTTTGCCAGTTTATCAACCTGTTCTTGCTTTCAACGCCCTCAGTAGCAGATTTATCTGTTTCGTTTTCTCAGGAGTTAGATTTGTTCGACATGCTCAGACTAGATTGAGTTGAGGGTGGATGGAGTCTAAAGCCTTCAAAGCTACTTGTTATCTGAGTTTTGTATCATTGCACCTTTTTATCCTTTTGTAAGTATTTCTTGTGCACAGTGTTGCATAGCCCTCAGCTTAAGTTATAAAAAAGAGGTTACTTTTGGTTATAAATTGTTTTTCCTTAGGTAAAAATAACATAAATAATAACGTTTTTTAATTGGTTGGGAACTACTTACAATATAGAAGCTATTGTAGTAGTTTGTAAAACGAGTGCAAGTAGTAAACGTCTAAAGCGTGCTGTAACAGAGCAAATAATTTATTTTTTTAAATCGGTATTTTGCTAAATAACAAGCATTGTAGTTTAATATGTATCCTTTTATTCTCTATAATTTATCTTTTTCGTTTTAGTGATCCGAGGCTAAAAATTCTTTAACATTAACAGAGAACGTTTTCCTTTGATCAACAATTACTCCCAGCGGAATCCCAGCGGCCTGCTTTACAAGAAAGCCCGGAATGTAAAAAAAAATTTCCTTGGATAAATTTTCTCCCAGCGGGAGTAGGCAGGTTGGAAACACAAAGAAACCATTTAAATGTCTCAGTTACACCCCTCAGCTGGAAACAATCCAAGCCCTAAAGAAAGTCAAGTGAAGACAACTTCATTTTCTAAAGTGAACCATAAGACCGAGTTAGGGGTTTTATATTAAGTTGCTAATTCTAACGGCTATGGCATTGGATTTTTAATCGGCTTTCCTCATTTTGTCGCCTCTTCCTTTTTTCACCCGTTTCCCAGTAGTCGCGAGAAAATTAATTTGTACCCTACGCTAAAATTTTATACGCGGATTGTTTCAAAGTTCCCAATCACATTCAATTTTTGAGGCTTTTAAGTCAAATTGAGAAAAACAATCAAGAAAACACATGCAATTTTTTTTTTAACAAGAAAGAAAGTATATGGGAGGTAAGCTCGTCGATTCGTTGATAGTAAAAGGAAAAAATCTACTGTCCTGTAAAGCCAAGGGATGTCCACTTGGCAATCACGTTTTTAATACAAAAAGAGGCTACTTGTAAACAGAAGGGGCCAAGCTGACTCGGCCATATCCAGCCCGGGCCGTCCAATCAGCCGGCTTTCTCTTTGTACCTTCGGCTTCATCACTTTTCCAGGCAGGCCTTTTATACATAACGGCTCCTTGACAAATTGCCAAATTCTCTTGAGCGCGTGTATCCGAAAACGTTTTCAGAGATTTTACGCGTTTACGGACTGTTTATCAAGAGGGAGAGTCCGGCCAGGAAATGTTACCTCTTCGTACGAACGATTTGAAAGAGCGATGGATTAACCAATTGCCCCTCAGACCGATACGTCAGCAAAGTTTAGCGGGTCCAGACGCTCGTCTGTAATCATAATCAGTATTTTTCAAAATAGTATAAAAATCCTAATCCCCAAATATCCTTGCTTAAGTCGTGCCTTAGCCTTCTCCCCATCACTCTGTCGGTTTAGCTAAACATTGTACAGTTTTGACAATAAAATTTCTTCTTACAAAAAAATATTCTTCGAGCGATTACTTAACTTCGATGGAAAATGTGTGTGTGAATGAAAAGGAAAAGAAAATATGGAAAAGAATAGGAATTAAAAGAAAACTAGTTATTTGTTGAGAACGAATAGTACAATAAAAACTACAATATTTAAAGTAAAAATAGAGTGTCGATTGTAAGATAGTCCAATATTTCAAATCTGAAAATGATCGGCATTCCTGCTAAGCATATCCTTAATTCAAAAAAGTGATCAAACTCTAAGAAAGTGATACTAATTTTTTAAACCAACCATCGGATGCCGGTGTTTTTGAAAAAAAAACAACATTTGTAAGTACGTCGCGTTCGAATGCAGACACGCTGGATTCGAATCCGGGACCTTTACCTAACAGTGATGAGCGCCATGTCAACGGCAAAACCGTTGCAGCACCGACGCCTCCCTGATACGAATTTTCCCGGGCATTACTGTTACAAAGTGAACAGATTTCATTGTGAGGGTCAATTAGAACTAGGGTTTGAATTTAATATGACAATTCTCTTCTTAATTTGAAAAATCTCTAATCTCTAAGGTCAAGGTCCTGAGACAATAAGTGCTAATCGAAAATTTCCTCATACAAGGAAAGCCTCTGAGTACTATTCGCCCTATTCGCAGCTTCTTCACGACGAGCATCGTTTATTTTAATGGAAAAGTCTAAAAGATCATAGAGAACCTGCTGAACATTGGACTTTTGACGAGGGAAGGAACATTTTTGCGGAAGAGAGAGCCATAGCCTGAACAAGGAGATTTTCTTCTAATTATCTGTAGAGATATAATTTTAGGCAGACAGTCATCTGGGAGGCTCAGTATTTTAAATAAATATTTCAGGTGGAGAGAAAAGGTATTCGAAAATAGATGAGGCAAATTGGATTGTAGGGTTAGCATGCAATTTGACGAAAAAGATAATATCTGAGAAGTTTCTTCACAAAACATTTTCGATTTTTTTTTAAACGTCATAAAACTGGAATGCACAGACTTGATTTAGTTTATTCCTCTTCTTGGCAAAATTTGTACAATATATCTTTTGTCAGCACACCTATCCGGTACCTTGCCTTTTTAAGCGTCAGGACAGCCAGCTGTATTAACAGAATCCTAGTTTTATTTCGTTTACCCTTCAACAATTCTTCCGAGTTTTGCGTGTTTTCCTTGGGTTGTTAACCAAAAGGATTTTCACTAGTTAAGGATCCATTTTTAAGTATCTCACTCTCTCTCTCTCTCTCTCTCTCTCTCTCTCTTTCTATTTTTATCTATCCCTCTACTCTCTATCTATCTATCTTCCCGAGTAATATTTTAACAATGATGAGGTTATTAGCCTTTCTTCTCAACATTCTTATTTAAAAAATACGCAGGTCTCATCTCTAGGGTAATGATTGTTGATTTAAACCTATTGTCATTTTCTTTTATTTTCGGTGTATTCTTTATTTTGTTGAATTGCTAGTTCACGGTATGTTTTTAGGTCAAAAATATTCTATATTTATATATATATGATCTTGGAAAGTATATCGCCGGCTTGTTACCAGTCCCGGGAATTTCAATTTGCGTGCCAAGTTTAAAACTTTGAGTAGTTTTGTCAATTTACAAATTTTATTCCCCTTGATACCGAGACATAGGATAGGGATGTAATCTGCTTGTGATTGACGTGCAATTCACTATAATCGGACTAAAAAGCCATAAAACCGTCAGAAATTAAAACAAATCTATCCTTTGTAACGAGATTACGAGCTCTTTTTAACGCCGGTTTGCCAGAATTACCTCGGTTTTGATGTCGCATTACGCCATAAACCAAACGACCCCTCTTTTATAACACTGCCGCTACGAACCAACAACACCCCTCCCTCTTTCTTTCACTTAAACAATCCGAAATTCTTTTTGCTTTTAAATTATAAAACGCGAGACAATTACGGACGACAATACACGCCCCTCGGTGTTTGTCATTTTTCGGCCGGCGGAAATGGCTAATTCCTTCTTTACGCGTTTGGAACCCCTCGCTGGACAATGGGCCACCAAGCAACAATAGAATACAATGACAGTCGGAATTCTGAGTGGATTTAACGTTTCATTCTTTCAGTTCAACCACTTCAATTTGTTTTCTCGAAACTTTGAATGGCGCACACTAAACAATTGCTCTCTGAATGCTGGGCTACAATCGGTCAACTCTATTTAGCGAAGGATACTAAATGATTACAGATAAACAATGAAAACAACAATGTAAGCTCTAGGCCTGGGACCTTTGTTATTCGTGAATCGAGACAAATTTTCTCATCTTCAAGCCTTTTTACTCCATCCGTACATGTTACGATTATTTATTATATCAGCAAGTTTTTATGACAATTTTCCAATGTTTACCTCAACATAATTGATATCAGCCTTCAATATCATAATTTTGCATTAAAAATCAGGGATAAGGGCAATTTTGTGCTATCGAAAATTTTCTGATTTTGTAAAAGAAAATGTTGTAATGATGTTCGCATATAATCATAAAATAAATTTGTTCTTTGATTTTTTAATGAATATTCCTCTTGGTTGTAATTAGGCCTAAAAAAAAAGAAATGTATAAAGCAGCAAACATCTAATGACTCGAGTTGCCACCTCAAAAATGAACAATAGAAAAAGTTTGTGTGGTGATTAGTGACCGTTAATCGATAATTATTCAGAAATCGTGAGATGCAGTAAAGAAAAACATTTTCTTTATCGTGCCAACGTTTCGATCATTATTGAGATCATCTTCAGGGCTCAAAGTGTTTGTCTTCTGTGTAATTGTGTCATTCTTGCGTGTCGTGATGAGCGCACTCTAAACCTACATCACACCAGACCGCATCTCACGATTTCTGAATAATTAGTAGAAAAAGTTAAAATTTTCAGTTTTTCATGTTGATAAAAATGAAAATAGTCATTACGAAAACAAGAAGTGGGACTAAATATTTCACATTTACCGTGAGGAGCACATCATGTGAAAATTCGAAATAAAATTTTTATAACTCTGATACAAAACATTTCTCTATTTATTTCTAAAATTAGAGTCATAAATATATAAAGGCATTCTATTTGGTGTAAGATAGCATGAACAGCGCTCTCATTTATGAATAATATTTACCATCGTAATATATCATTTGTACCTAAACTCTTTTTCTTCTTTGGGTTTGAATTTTCGAAAAAACATTGCTACAGATAGCAGGGCAGACAGTCCCAGAAGCGAGATCATCAAAAAGTTAAGACTTTTATAAAAATTGAGGGCATTCACCAAGTAGACATTTACTTTTGCCAGGCAGCCCGTTACGTGATACAACTGTGCAGTGCCGTTGAATGTTCTTCCTTCAGAAGTCGAATTACAGAAACCGCAGCTGTCGGCAATGGTGCAGTTGGTGAGATCGCTGTCCTTACACCAATCCCTGTAGGTCAAGACGCCACAGCAGTGGAAGTTGTACTGCACGTAGTCCCACAGGAACCTGTACACTTTGTTGTTCGAATAGTCTCCGAGAGATTCGTACATCGCGTAGCGAGATTCCCGCATCAACCTCTCGTTTGATGGAAGACGGGATCCGACGAGAAGTAAGCCAAAGAATAGCACTGTGCCGGACAACGCGAGAAGAAATACAGCGCTTTTTCTCACCTTCGGACCGATTATGACGATTCCAATGATCGAGTACAAATTTACGACGACTGCGTTCACTACCATGAAAGTGTTTAGCACACGGCTAGTCTCCCTCTGGACAAAAAAGTAGCTATGTTCTCTCTTCACGACCAAAATAACCGTCGTAAACAAAAACGTGATGCCTAGAAGTGTGTTGACGGTGTTGATCAATTTCAGTGAGTATTTTACAGAATTAATTTTCTTTCTCGGGTGAGTCGGTGGGGGTGTAGGGTAGTCATCATCTTCGTACCGGTCGAAACTTTTTGCTTCAAAATCCTCAGAAACAGCTGTCTGAAGATCCATTTTTGGTTCAGGCGTTCATGTGGTACTGCGGAACAAAATCGTAAGCAACTAATTGGCAATTATTGGTACATAATAAAATAAATCAATATTTTACCATAGTCTGAAAATGTTTGTATTTAGAACAAAATTAAGGTTAAATAAGTCGGAGAACAGTATATAATAAACAACTGTAGTTGAAAAGAGGCTGAAAAAGGATTAAACCTACTAAAATTAATTTTAAAAAGTTGAAAAATGTAAACAGAAAAACAAAGACAATACAATCTGAACAAAAGAGCCAAACAGTTAATAAATTAATGTTAAAAACTGACAGCTAAAATCAATTCACATTATGTTGAAATAAGTCTGAAGTCAGTGTAAAACAAAATGAATTAACAGAAAAGGGCTAGAAAACAACGAAAATTAAATTAAATAAGCTTAAAAACTTTAGAAATGAGTTTTAAAAAATGCTGACTAACAGTGAAAGAAAAAAAAATAAATTCATTTATCAAGCAAATGAACCACAGGTGTAATTTTGCAATCATCACTTCACATTTATATTCGAAATTTTACACCAACTAATAGGAAGATGGACTTCAGGCTGGATCTTGCCATAATTTTCAAAGATTGGAAAAGGTCATGAATAAACCACATTAATTTCTCTATATAGGCCACTAAACCCTTCGAAAAAAAGGGCTTACAATTTATATCCAAAACGTACTAAGCATATGGTGGCCTCTCGGAGGGGAACCCGCGATTGGAGCGTATTATGAATTGTTGCGTAAGATTCGTGTTCGACACCCCTCGGGGGTCACGGGTGTCGAGGTTGTATTCCCAACTTTTTTGGCTCTACCCCTTCTTCCGTGCACAGTATTTCCTAGGTTGCTTTCTTTTCCAGTCCATCCACACTTGTCGTCCTCCTTACACACACATCACCCATTCCCTCCAATTCAACTTCTCACATCACACTCGTAACACCCGCTCATCTCCAATCGACCTTATCCTTCCGCAACATACAACCCTACCTTCGAAAGATCTTTTCTGATCCGAGCCGCTAAACTCTGGAACTCCCATCCCCTTTCTTTTCATCACGCTGCCTCCTTTTCCTCCTTTACAGCCCACCTGTATAGTCATGTCCTCTCCCTCCAAACAGAGACCTTACGTTAATATTTGATATTTTTGTTTAATATTTTTTTATTTGTTCTTATGGCTTGCCTTACTTGTATATATTGCGGCAAGATTTTTATTTCATTTTACTTTTAATTTCATAGAAGGAACTTACTTTGTTCATTTCATGTATATTATTCTTAGGAGACACCAGTCCCAGAATAAAGTTATTTTTTCTTCTTCTTCATATGTAATGTAACACAATGGGTGATCTCGAAGTTTTCAGTAGTAATTGTAAGTGTGGTATTGATTTGCTTCTTTATCAATGAGCATTAGATTTCTGCAGCTCGGGGTATATTTTACTTACCTTTTAAACAATCCTCCATTGATTATCTTATAACAACATTTCGTCCGGTTTATAGGATTAGAGTAAACAAATTTAATTTAAAAAAATAAATTCTCCCACTTGTGTTTACAATTGAATTTTGTAAGTAAATCTTTGAAAGTCATCCCTTCTTTGTTGGTTTTTCTGTAAAGCAAACAATTAATATTTTTCAATTAATTAAGGTTTTTAGTTGAGATAAAAAGTCAATGTCACGAGCAGGATTCGAACCCACGACCTTCGGCTAGATACGCCGCTACTCTACCACTTGAGCTATAGTGACTTCGATCCGCTCGGACACTAACTTCCCATCTCAACCCCATTTTCGAGAATCAAATGGATTACACGACATTTGAAAAATGGCAAAAAGGAGGGAAAATTCAAATGTCAGGGATATGTCAACCACAAACCTTAATTAACTTCTTTGTAACGTTCCGGTGGTTTGCAAATATGTTTGAGTGAGGGTTTCAAGTGATACAGATTCGGAAGAATCATAGCATTGTTGTAAGACGAAAGAAGTCGAGGGTATGTCGCCAGGGTGTTTAACATTCCCACAACCACCGTCTGAAGTGTCTTCCATAGCTACCAAGATTCTGGAGGATACTCAAGAAGGCATATATCAAGTCACCATGGGGTTACATTTTTATGCACAGTAAGGCAAAGACTTTCAGAAGTTAGATTACGTGCGGGAAGGCCCGCCAGTGGTCCAGAACTTCTGACAAGGCACAGGCTAAGTTGCAAGAAATAACGTCAATTGGTCTGAACAAGATCTTGCTTTCGGATAAGTCAAGATTTTGTTTGAGATCTTCTGACGTAAGAGAGGGTTTGGGAAGAACAGGAGAGCGACATATCCCTGCAAAATTTTCACTCCGGAGAAGTTATGGAGATGTGGTAATTTTTAAGAAAGGTCACATAAACTTAATCCTCATCGAGGGTTAAGCTGTCTGTCTATCCCTTTTCCATTTGTATGCCTGTCTAGTCTGTCTATATTATATACCTCTGCCTATCTCTCTATCTATATATCTTTCTATTAATCTAATTATTTATTGTATTTACAAATTTGTCTATCTTTCTCTTTCGTTTTCCAATATCCAGTTCTACCTAACTTCTCATTAAATAGGCAATACTTTAAAAGAAAAGTATTACCAACAAATTACAGAATTTCGTCAAACATAAAAATAAACAAAACTCGTATCAAATATATTAGGTTGGAAAATTATTACGACAAATAAATGAATCGTTTTGATTGCTTTTCGATTGATTTATTTACAAATTATTGAACAAATATATGTTTAAGACAGAAAAAAGTCAAGACATATTTTCTGGTAAAATATCTGGTAATTTCTTCATAATTGAATATTCTACCTCCTTTGAAACAGTGTCCCTCTTTCGCTCGGGGTTGATTTTGAAATTGAAAGGAAGTCAAACTTATTTACGATTTCATTCGAAACAGAGTCAATTGGTTTACCCGATCAAAGACGCAAATACAAGCTTTATCTACTGGTTAAAATTATTATGAAATTTAAAAAAAATTATTGCGAGATATGTTGAATAGGTTTAGTACAAATATATAAGTTCCATATTAATTAAGAAACGACGTACATACTTTTGCAGAATAAAGGAAACCGATTAATATTGGATATCAAAACGAAAACGATTAACTATGCATTATAATCCATCTTTTATTAGGGATGACCATTGGTACGTAATTCGAAGAGGCAGTAACAAACATTTTATTGAATACGTAAGATTATACGTACGGAAAAATCCTATGGGGATCAAAGCCGATTATCAACTGAAATTATCCATAAGTTCCAGTCCATTCATCGATTCATTTCAGCACTAGTCATGGAAAATTCTATTTGTGAAACGGCAGAGCCACATAGGTGGAAGCCTTTTCTGAAAAATTTTTGCCATCTACAGACACAATGGATAAATTACAAACCCAGGTGAAAAGGGGTTAAAATCCGGCTTCATTGAAAACATCGAGAAATTCATTTACTGTTCTTTTACAATTAACATATGACTTGTGGTGGCATGATAGAAACATAGCATTGAAACCTAGAGGTACCATACACAATCAACTCTTAATTAAAAAAACCACAGTTAAAACTAGAAAATACATTTTACAACGCGGTAAAACTTAGGGGAGTGATAGATACATTTACAACGAGACTGCATTCAACGATGACACCGTTTATATGTTGTACAATTACAACGAGGGAACTGCCATTTATATTACATTTCAACGCGTAGCAACCACACAATGAAGATGACTTGGAAAAAATAATAATAAATACAAGAACAGCCAATGACTTTCTACAACTTGAAAGTGGAATTACTACAATATAACTGATGTAAGGAACTGGGAAAAGTAAACAAAACCATAAGGCAATAGTGTGTATCTGATACCAACCCACCCTACATAGTATCCTTCTTGTGTTTTATTTTTTATCTACAGGTTATTAACATTGTGCTTATTGTTAGGTTGGCCCTCGGAAAACAATTAACTACTTCTTATTGTACTAATATTTTATTATCTTTAAAGGAATTACATAAATGAATTTGTTCCCTGTCGATTATACAATAAGGGTACAAAGGGCTTCCTATCAAGTGCAGGTTCCAAGATTTCCCATAAACTTACAGTAAGGGCAGGTACAGTTCTACAGGTGTTACAGTTCCCCAAAACTATTCTACGAATAGGATTGCATAAACTACTCAGCCTGAGAGGGACAAAACACAAGACACTCACCCAAAACGCAAGACGACCGCGATTATCTTCTTCCCAGCGTTAGAACAAGACTGACTCAACGTCCGCCGCGCGAAATGGGATCCATTTGTCTCACATTTCTTCCCTCCCAGTCTATACACTTTTTCTACAACTTTAAATTAAACTAAAACTAATTGTCTCTAATACAACCCACCCTGGGAGCCATGGCCCACTCTATGTGGAACCACGGCGACAACGGGTGGTATAGTGTGGTTGAGACTCGAGACCCCGAAACGGCTCACCTCGTGTTCTCTTCCACGGCCCTGTTTCTCAATCCGAATTCCTTCATTCTATCCTGTGACCCCTCCTAACCCTTGGTTACAAGGGGGGTATCCGGGCACAAAATAATGGTGCAGCCCAGAGGGCGTGGCAACCTTTCTAAAGCACAAGCTGTCTTATGTCGGCCTCAGGGTCGGCAGGGACGTCGGGTGCCTTAGCAGAGTCACACGAGGGCCAGTGCACCAGATCCTGTCTGCAAAGACGGGGGAGGGTTGTATGGCCATCTGTACCACGGGGTGACTCAACGTTTCAAAAACCAGCCCAGAGCCACATTGGGATGGACTCGTGGTGGCTTGTGGTGACGCCCCTGGCGGGAACTTAAACAGAGGCTGTCTTCTATCTGGGACCTTTCGTGAAGCTTGCGTATGGCCAACGTATTAAACCTGGTCCTCGACCGGACGACAGCATGTAAGCGTTGAGGACGTCATGATCATGCTACAGTCCCTCGAATGCGTGAGTAAGCGATTGGAAAAGGGTAGTGATATCGGCGGTTTCTGACTCGAGTATGCTTTGCATTGTTGTGCGTATGACCGGCGTGGTACCCTTGGGGAAGCGAAGGATCGGACCACCTAGGCTAGACCTATGGCGACCCTCGATTACGTGCAGCAGGTGTAGGCTGAGCTCGATAAGAGACCTTTGACCGTAGACAGGAGGTGGGTAGCAATCCCACTTTATAATCCGAAACCGCTGTCGGGGCGTTCCCGAAAGTTTCTACGCTGGAGGAGCCTCTACACTCAGAGAGATAGAGTCGCCTTCTCTATCTAGGGAGTACGCGAGGGGGGGGACGGGCTGATGTATTTCGGCCCGTTAGCCCCTTGCGTGCGGCGTACGACCTGACGCACAATGCAGGCCCGACCATTCGGAGTGGACAAGCGGAGAGCGTGGCTACTGACCCTTAGGGGCCGGGACACCACTACACCAATGCTGCGGCGGTAACACTTTTCCGTCGTATGCAGAAGTGCGTCAGCTCTCATCTTGAGAATCAAAACGTCCGATAAGGCCGTATAGGCTAGGTGCGGACGTTAAAGATCCTCTTGTCTTGTTGACGATGAGTAAATCGGGAACGCATGTCTCTCATACACTACACTTATGTTGTGCATTTCATCATAAATGACAAAAATGTATAATAGCAGGAATAAATATTTTCCTTAGAATAATAATCATTTTAGCATCCGGTGAACGATTTTAAACTATTTTAAACACTATTTCAATAGAGCCGTGCATTATACATTAGAACAAATAAAAGAGAAGGTAAAAAAATGCACATATAAATCAACACGCATGTATACGCACATAAAATTTGTTACATGCGTTATAAATCTCCTAATATTTTGATTATTCAAGATAAATAATTTATATTGAATGTTCCCATACCAGGTTAAATATATATTTTGCTTTTTGAATATTACCAACCCTCGGAAAGTGTCCATTTCCTTTGTACAACTCACAATATTACAGCACAAAGGATGGATGATATGCGGTTGTCATAGTATACTCTTTTGAAGCTGGAGATTGTACGGGTAATTGAATAAGGTATGAGATTCCTTATGAATAGGGCGGTGAACCGATCTCAGATAAGATGGAGAGAGATCATCAATAACATGTTTAGAAAAGATGCGTGATTATTAGAAACGATTGAGACGTGAATGTATAAAGCAGTTTTATCTAAGAAAATTAAACTTATCATTATTAAAAATTTAAAAAAATATTGTAAAACTTTTATTTAGCCCATAAAATTAAATGCAAGCGAAATAGAGAAAGGTTTGCTAACATTCATGTTAAAAAACATCACGTACATGTTACTCGTCAATATTTGTGCTGCTTGTAACATAACGTTCGCAGTTTTTAACTGCTGTCCACACAAAAATTCGGACGGCAGGGAATACGCAGGGCAAAAGTTGACTTCTATATCGGTCACCTTTGCTTATTAGCAAAGGCAAACGTTACAAGCATAAAAAAAACGCGATTATTTTGATTTTACACGTATTTAAATAGATAACATATTTATACATTTTATCTTAATGTAGTTCCCTGCTGAGCCAACAGCCTTGAAATTTGAAACATGCTAAAATTCTAAAACATAATACAAATCGTAACTTTTTAGCATTGATATGTTTTTGAACTCGACTCAAAAAATGATGTGCTTGTCCTTATTTGAGTAATCGATTTCGCGTTCCCATAGAGTACGCATGGGTTTTAATAAGTTAGAGAGGATTAGGGTTAGGTTAGGTTTCGAAGGGTTAATGATACAGATGGATTTTTGGTTTAGGAACAGTTTGAGTTCACGTTAGGTTACATAGGATGAGGTTTAGGAACGGATAAAGTTTAGTTAGGTAGAGTTAGAGTTAAAGTGAGATAATGTAAGGTGGGGTAAACGTTAGGAACGGGTTTGGTTAGTTTAGGTAGAAGCGGGGAAAATATGTGAGTGCGAAGTAAAAGTTTATACAAAATGCACAGTTAGAAAAATCTTTATTACCAATCTCTCCGTTACATTCTCTTTGTTTTCTTGGACGTTCCTTTTAAGTTTATAATATTAAATACAAAAATTAGAGTACTTTGTTACAAATTAAAAAATACAGAGCCAAATAATTGAATTACGTCATCATTATGCTTTGGTAACATTTTTGTATGTTCAGCGAGTTTAATAAACTATTAGTAATAAATAAATTATTAATGCGGAAAAATAGCCACTGATAAATTATGAACTAAAACTATTCCGTTTTTGTCTAAAACTTGTGTGAAATTATTAAGTTATGATCTATATTGTAACATCGTCTAAATTCCAAAAAGTAAGCATGTCTTTTTTCATGATAAATATGTGTAGTTTAATACTGGACTGTTTTTTTTCCAAGGTATAAAAGGAAGCCCATTAATGGACTGGAGATATGAAGCTGAAGTCAGTTCTGTCCGTTATAATTTGAAATTTTAGGATTTGAAAAATTCAGGATTCGATTAATGTTGTTTTTGATGTGAAGATCATTATAAAATGTTAAATACTATACTTGATTTTTATAGTACATTGCTGAAAAATGAACTTATCAAATTCAGAATGGATAATTAATAAGATGAGACAGTTTATCTTTTAGTCAGAATGAGTAATTGATGAACTGCCATGCAGTGTGCTGTAACTCTTGAGTGGAGAACGATTGATGATGTCTCTTACCTGTCTTGGAGTTAGGTCGCTAACTGTTGTGTGAAGTAATGCGTCCTGTGATATTTCTTCAACTTTTAAGATCGTCTGAGTCTTACCGTCTTTGATGGAAAGACGCTGATGGCTTAATCTGTCCTAAACCTAACAGAAAACTGATTAAGATATTAATCCAGGTAATTATTACTTCGCCGCATTCTAGCATAGCAGTATAATAAATTCCCCGGGTTGGGCTATAATATCAGCTATAATTCGAATGGCTTCCAGCGTTGTTTTCTTTGTTCATTTCCATCCGGGTAGGAATGTAAAAATTCAAAACGCGGAGATTGAAACGGCGGAAAGGAAACGATTAGCCTCAGTAATTTGCATTCAAGGAAGTACTTTGCATCTTCAGTGTTGCGTGATAAAACGATACGGCCAAGATTCCCTATTTGTGGGTTTAGTGCTGCGTTATTTTTCCGGTATAGTATGCTGCCTTTGTAACTATGACGATTGCAATTCTGATAATCTCTCGCCCTAAACAACGTTTTTGTTGCCGACGTTTCTTTTATATCTGGGAAATCATTTCTTAGTGTAAAAATCAACCATCAATTTGTTTTACAGATTTGCAAACAATAATGACAATATGTATTGTAATTTTGTAATTACAATTTGTTGTTGTTGTAAATTTGTAATTTTTTAAGCATTCCACATAGTGACGTATGTTCATATAAAGTTCTTTCTAATTATAAAGATTGGATAGGTCTTGATAAATCTTACTCATTAGAGATGGGTAATTTGTAATAACAAAAATTAAGTAAGCAAAAGTTGAAAATTAATTTCT